TCCAGTAAACAAGCCTGGCTTTTATCCAACAGAGTAGGTAGGGCTATTTGGTGTACTTGATTAGCTGTTCTTATTAAGCTCTTCTTCCCTTTTGGTACTCAACTGAGTTTTATTGGACAGAATAATAAAGTTGGAGGGGATCTTAGAGGTCTTCTAGTCAACCCCCTGCTCAAACAGGAGACCCTATACTATTCTGGACAAATGACTACCCAAATCTTTAAAAAGTGTCCAAATTCCATCACTTTGACACTTCCAACTCTGTTATTCTGTCCAATGAAATTTTCAGTTGAGTACCAAAAGGAAAGAAGAGCATAATGAGAATAGCTAGGCAAGTACACCAAATAGCCCTACCTACTCTGTTGGATAAAAGCCAGGCTTATTTATGAGCAAATGAGGCTTCAGACATTCCAGGTCCAGTTCACTCTCAGGCAGATTCATTTGAGGCCCAGTTGTAATCCATAGCCACCAGCGTAGCTGTCTGGGTGATTTGCTGAGTATTTTGTAGTTGACATTAACAAAGAAATTGCTGCTGGCACATGCTGTGCTGTTTCAGCTGTTCAGCACACCAGCTTAAGAGAAGTACATCACATCAGTCTAGTTACAGTTAATGCATTCTTAGATGCTTTCCATTAAATGCAGATTATGAAGTGCAGGAGGCAATAGCACTAAGGAAAAATAATCACATTAATGGATGTAGATTTTAGACGTAAAATCAGTCATTTTTATTACAGTACTGAATCAGTTCTTAATTTTAAAAAGAGAACTTAGTTAATCTAGGCTCATTGGCTCCCCCCAAAACGTATTTTCAAAACATTTTGCTGTTTCCCTATTAAAATGTGGAAACATGTTATGGTTGAATGATAACTTGTGTCAGCATATGCTACAAGAAAATCTTATCTTATGCATATGTCTATTCTTGTCAGACATTTTATATGGAATCCTTGATGCCCTCTGAGCTTTGTTATTTGCTTGCAAATATTTTATTGCCTTAGGTAACATCATGAGTGCTAATGAGTGTGGAGTTTGCACCCTATTTATATATAATAGCTTGTCCTGTATAGTAGCTGGCCAGCTGCCATTGGCAGGCCAAGGTACTATGTATATACAGTACATTGTATATGCTGTAAAGAAACAGGGAGCAAATCTCCTGGGTAGCAAAGCTCAGAGATCACCAAGGACTTCACAGTTAAACCTGAGCTACATATATTCTCTTCTATGGAAAACAGTGATAGTTTTATACACAATATATGATATAAGCATTAAACCCTATCAAAATGTGCCTGATACCTTCTTACTGAAGAGATTAGTTAATAGGCAAAAAATGGAAACATTCCAAAGAGATCAAAGTAAAGCAGTGCCTTATGCTCATTAGAGGAAAAGGTAGACTATAAATTAATAAATAATTAATTGTGCATCCCATATACCTAGAAAAGTCCCATTACTGTATTTGCAACAAATGAAAAAGGTGGCATTACGACACATATTCACAAATAGTCATTCAGAAGCACCAGATAATAGGTAACTATGTCTTCAAGTGTCTTAATATTAGATACAGCAATTTGTTAAAGAGCAGTAGTTAAAGTGGAGCAAGTTAAACAATATTCTTCCAATCTAAAGTGGGGTCAGTGCAGTTCAGAAAAAGCTCTGACTCAGATGTGCAATATGGAATAAGCAACATGTAGTTAGCTGCAAATTATTCACTGAAAGCTCAAATGGTGTAAAGAATACTGAAATAATTTATTTATTTATTTATTTAATTCAGTGTTTGGCCAGCTGAGTGGGGATTCTGGAAGCTGAAGTCTATACTGTATATCTTAAAATGCTCAAAAGTTGAAAAAATTTAAACTGAGAACAAATGGCAAATAAGATTTAGAGTTAGAGCAAAGTGCAACAACAACAACAAAATCCTAACTTGAACATCAAACAGGGAACATGAAATAGAATCAGCTAGCAGGAAGAATCATCAAGAGACTGGAGTATCTTTCCCAACTGCATTTGGGACTGTTGCTTGGAAATTCCGGGAGTCACAGTTTCATTATATCAGAAGGAATCAACTTTGTAAATGGGAAAATTTTGTAAGAATATGAATAGACAATGAAGAATATATGCCCAGTTTGAATCTTAGTATAATTTGATCTGCCATTTGAGAAGGAAAGCATTTTTAAAATGTAAAGAAGTATTTAAAGTGATATCATACAATCAAGATTATATGCTCAATAATTCTCATAGTATCATTATATTTTTCTTATATGGTCTGATCATCAATGTAGGGTTAGATCTGGAAAATGTTCCCCTCAGTGTGTTTTAAAAAACAACAATGTATTATAAAATGTATTCAATAAATAATAATTGTTCAAGGTATAGAAACATGTACTAACATATTATTTAATGCATAATAGAAAGTTATCTAAACATTCATAGCTCAACAAGCCTCAGTGACTCTAGGTGGCACTTAATGCCCTTAGATTCAGTTTGCAAATTGCATACAATTATGTTTGTATGATAACATTAATAAAGAATTTGCATTTTCCTGATCAGAATTTGGCAGGGCCCTAATGCTGAACTTTTCTGGGTTTATCAAGATAACTAATTGAAAACGTGCATGTCATAAAAGAAGGGATGGGGACACATTTTGATAAGTGGAATAATTATGAATAATTTAGCTGAAATGGAACAAGAATTTTTTGTCCTCAACATTTATTCTCAACATTGTTCAGAATCTAAAATTTAATCTGTACGCATTATATATCTAGGATTTGTTTCCTCATCTGTTCTTTGCAACAAATATAGGTCTCAGTTTATTCAAACTCTACCAAGCTGTCAGAAAACAAATATTGGCAGAAAACCAGCAGTGTTACTGTTTGAGGACATACATTTCTGGTATAAGCATCCACAGTGTTTGGACATAGTTGTCCAACTTTCTGGCTTGGCTGAATCACATTGAGTGAAGAGGAATTGTCTTGAGCCACATGTAAAACATACAATACATTTAATGTATATAAATAACAATTTTCCTTTTTAATTTTTTTTATACATTGCGGGGCAACATTACTAGCTGCCAGGGCCACATGTGGCCGATAGGCTGTGTGTTGTTCATGCCCTGTTTAGGGTACTGAGAGTAGCCACAGTTTTGAGCTAATAACTGGGTTTTTACTCCACTTCAATCTTATTTATATGAGCCATTAATCTGAAAATTTAATTGTGTCATTGTCATCTACATGTCCTGGCATGTTGTGTCGTTTGTTATTTACATTGTGAACCCTTCAGAAAAAAAATGTTATCTACTGCATAATTGGTGTGGCTTCAAAAATCTCTTTTCTATCAAGTTGACATTTATTGAATTAAACAGTAAATTTGCCTGAAAATAATAATTGAGTTTCTGTCTAAATGTCTAGATTTGGAATCAGCCCACGTTCAGTGGCTGAAACAACCATTTGACTTGGCAGAGGAGACATTATTCTTCTTAATGCCCAAAAGCAGGTGGGTAGTGGAGGAATATGTTTTTGATGGGATGATGGCACAAAAATTGACCAACCTTCTGAGGATCCCAGGATATTTAAAGCCGCTGTTTAACCCCCAAATGTGTGCTTCATGTTCTTGACCTATCACATCCTAAATGTGGCTTAAATCTCAGCTCCACGGACCAGGGGTTGGGGACCCCTGCTTTAAAGTATCATGTAAAGTACTTAATTTCATTATAATCTTCCTTTCAATGAGTTATTACCCCCGATAATTAAGCTTTTCCTTGAGCCCAAGTGTTTTATTTGCTTGCAGTAAAAGTTTCCACCTTGAATTTTGTGAAGAAATTTAGAAGTGACCCTCTTTGATTTTAATTTCAATTATTTATTTTCTCCTCAATAAATTAAATTTGTAAATTATAGTCCATCATAAACGAATACTTTAGCTGCTTTCACACAATAGAAGCTTCTCTTTGTTCTGATTCTCTGTTCAGCAGTACTGTAAGGCCGAAAGATATAATGTCTACAGGCAACCTTATAAAAAAATAGCAATCTTTTCAAGTTTGTATTCTTCTTAAGCATTTTATTTATTTTAACCACATCTTTAAATGAAATGAAATGAAGTTACTTTCAGATATAATTACTGTATTGATAACTCACTCTTTTAAAAATTTAGTCGTATCTTTATCCCATAGTAATGCTGGTCTTTACACAATCCAAATGACTATACAGTAGAAAAATATATAATGAAAATTTCTATATACAAAAGTTACCTGTATATGCAATCACTTCCTGATTAGTGTCACCCAACTAATAGGATTTTCTTCTATGATATTCAGTCATAAAGCACTAAAACAGTCCATACTCAACTTAGTTTTCCCTTTGTTTCATGAGAATAACCATTCTATGACTCTTAGATGCTACTGAATCCAGGTCTCTTACTACATATCTGAGGATAAAGATTCCCCTTTGTTTTTTTGAATAAAAATATTTTGTATTTTTATATGTTCCCATGTTCAATGAAGTATTTAATGCCTCCTATCCCCATGTCCCCAATGCAATAATTAGGAAGTAATAGTATCTTATCATTTGCTTGTGACATATTGTGTTCTTCACAGCAGAGGTCCCCAACCTTTTGGGCACCAGGGACCGGTTCCGTGGAGAGAGGCTTTTCGGTGGACCAGAGGGGGCATGGTTTTGTGTGTCTGCTGCCTGCATCCCATGGATGGGGCTTTGCTTGTTTGTGCGGACCGGTTGCTGGCATGCTGTAGCCCGGTACCGGTCCACGGATCGGGGGTTGGGGACCCCTGCTTTACAGTATCATGTAAAGTACTTAATTTCATTATAATCTTCCTTTCAATGAGTTATTACCCCCGATAATTAAGCTTTTCCTTGAGCCCAAGTTTTTTATTTGCTTGCAGTAAGTTTCCACCTTGAATTTTGTGAAGAAATTTAGAAGTGACCCTCTTTGATTTTAATTTCAATCATTTATTTTCCCCTCAATAAATTAAATTTGTAAATTATAGTCCATCATAAATATGAAGCAGCTTTGATAAAACAGAATTTACATTATCTGAAATACCTCTATTGTGACTTGCACTTGTACCTTTTTGTCTACTCTTCATTGGTGTTTTTAAACATCTGTTAAAGCTTCCTGCGATGCAGATACATTTGTCACTATTCCACGAACGTGTAATTCTCCTGTAATGTTTAGTCTCATCAAATCCTCAGGATTCATTTTGTAAAGCTGCTGTTGAATAGCTGATGCTTTCAACCCCAAAGTTGATTTAACATATGCACACAAAATCTGATGACATTATAATGAGGAAGATTTATAAAAACAGAAAATATCCTTGCCTCCATCTGTAATCAGTCTTTATGTTTTCATATAGATATATAGATATGTATGTATACATATGTAAATGATTTATTCCCCTGCCCCAACAAGATATGAGAAATATTTGTGCAGATTAAGGGTCTTCATCCATCAATGGAATTTCTAAAAAATAAAAGAAAGAATTAATGGGCTTTAATTGTGAACTGTCATATGGAATGTTCTGCAATTTTATTGTGTTATATCTTAAGAACTGCAGGTCATCAATGAGCCTGCAGTTCTTAAGATAATTCAGTTATGCAGGAATTCAGGCAATCAGAATCAGTGATTTCACAGAATCAATTCAATTAATTAAAGAACTTTATAAATGGCTGTGCAATGAAGCAGTCTTCTGGCCAAAGCATCTTATGGCACATGAATTCTCATATAGCTTAAATTTGGCATTCAGGTAGTCCGCATTTAGTGACTACAGTTCAGACATTAAGAAAAAGGCGTGACTGTGCGTATGATCTTATTTCAGTTTTTCTTTGCTTTTCAGACCGTAAAATGACATAAATGTGACGACTGACTGTCAAGTTACTTTTTTTGTCACTGACATAAATAAGAAAGGTCATTACACAAGGCAGTTACTAAACACAGACAACTTACATTATATATTTCAGACTAATTTGGGTCATTTGAATCATCATGGCACTATACTGGCCACTTAATTTTGTTGCTTTCTGCTTTGTTCCAGAGCATAAGAGATTTCAAAATTAAAATTTATTAGGGCTTTTAGAGTAATTCTGTTGACTAGTCTTTAGGGAAATTGAATATGTTGCTACTCTGATTTGTTTGTAAAAGTAATAAAGGCTGAATACAAATAAATAAGCAAATAAACAAATAAAGGAGAATATAAGCAAATAAACCCTACAGTTTCAGGAATGGAATGTTGTGTGCTGTTCTCTCCATATATCTGTTTTAACTGGGACACACTGTGAATGATTCAAGATTTGCTTCCCAAAACTTCCAGATTACTCCCAGAATGGCTGGGAAAGTTCAGTTTAGAAGAACAGAATATCCTCGGGAACACTCAATTTCTGGAATGATAGGTTTTGCATAATTCCACTGTTTCACATTATAAATTATATTAATTTTCTACTTTCTTTGATATTGTAGAAGATGCTGTTAGACCACAGCGCAAATTATATTCAGCATATTAGCCCAATGAAATGCACATATTAGTATTAAGAAAATCCATACTCAGCAAAAGAACATGATTTTTATAGGACCTTGAAATATTAATTGGATAACTTGAATGTTATGATTAAAAAAAGAATAATTTGGGTGTAACTAGGATATCAGTGTGACTTTTTCACACTGTTCCACTTCAAACAAAATGAAAAATTATAAAACCAAGTATCAGAATTGTCTTTAGTGACCTAAATCAAATAGAAGAGAATATTTAATGATAATGATGATGATGATGATGATGATAATGATAATAATAATAATAAATGATTGCAGCCCTGGCTTTCCCTATAAATTTGCTCATCTAACCCCCAAATGATCCTGAATATCTTAGGAGGATAAAAAGCTCACCCACTACACCTTCTATTGCACTCATTTTTACGAAAATGCAGCCCTTTTCTGGAAAATAATGTATCTGATTGTTTACCAAGAATCTGAAAAGTTTTAAAATTTGAAACATTTTGAACTGAAGAGGGTTTTAAATCTCTTTCTCCTGAAATTCTATTCTGAACTGGGACAAAATTGGAAATTCCATTTTGTCTGAGTGTTCCAACATCCCTTGATGGGATTTAAAAACACTTTTCCGAGAAATGGAGTCTTAAAGACAATACTGTGTTTCCCCCCAAATAAGACCCGGTTTTATATATATTTTTTGCCTCCAAAAGAGGCACTAGGTCTTAACTTCAGAGAATGTTTTACCTTAGGACCATCACAGCCAGGCCTCCCATAGCCCAACACCTGTCGCGCCTCTGCCTGACTTCTTTTGCGGCCGCTTGCTGCCACTTGCGGCTGGATACCATGTGGCGCATTGTGCCGTTGCTGCTACTCGTGGCAGGAAGCTGCATGGTGCTTTGCGCTGTTTCTGCTGCTCGTGGCAAGAAGCTGCATAGCGCTTCAGGCTGTTTCTGCTGCTTGCAGCAAGAAGCCTCATGGCGCCTTAGGCCATTTCTGTTGCTCGCAGCAAGAAGCCACGCGGTTCTTCAGGCGATTTCTGCTGCTTGCAGCAGGATGCCGAGTGGCTCTTTGGGCCGTTTCTGCCAGCACAAACAGCCCAAAGAGCCATCCAGCGTCCTGCCAGAAGCAGCAGAAACAGCCCAAAGCGCCGTGCGGCTTCTTGCTGTGAACAGCAGAAATGGTGCAAAGTATCATGTGGTGCTCTGCTGGGAGGAGCGGAAATGGCGCAAAGCACCATGCAGCGTTCTGCGAGCAGAGGAAAGGGCCCGAAGCACCGTGCGGCTTCTTGCAGCAAGCAGCAGAAATGGCGCAAAGCACCATGTGGCATCCTGCTGCGAGTAGCAGCAACGGTCCGAAGCGCTGTGCAACCTTCCACCAGGAGCGGTGGCACTGCTGTGAGGAGCCACACAGCTTGACAAGTGTTGGGGCATGGGAGGTTTAGTTGCGGCAGTCCTACCGGCAAGGTAAGCAGGTGTAGGGTGCATGGGGCAGCTTCACCCCCCCCATCTCGCCCTACCTTGATTTTTAGGTATGCACGTCACCCCAAAACTAAGGCTTATTTTTGGAGTAGGGCTTAATTTAGGCCCACCCCCAAAATCAAGCTAGGGCTTACTTTTTGGCTGGGTCTTACTTTCGGGGAAACACGGTATTAATTAATAAGACAGCAGGTATAGACTCCATCTCATCATGGAGAAAAACTATGTGGTTCTTAAGAATCAACCACAACTTGATCAAGTTTTTTTAAAAAATCAGAATGACCTATACTGTACAATAAATATAGTATTGTACAATAGAGTGTTGGACTAGAAAACCTCCAAGGTCCCTTCCAACCTTTCATTATTGATAGCATGTAATTAATCATCAATCAGTTGGTTCCACCTCTGCTGGCATTGGCTGGAGAGAACTGAGGGACAGACACAGGGGGGAGACTAAACATGGGCTTTATAGCTGAGTACTCTGTGCACATGTGAAATAGATTGCTATATTCCAGAGAGTTAAAATTATCATTGTTTTAAATTCCTTGTTACATAGAAATTAAAGATTATGAACTGTAGCAAAAATTAACTGGCAATCTACTTGAAAAGTAAACCCAGCAAACATAAACACAAAATATACATTAAGGCTAAGTAGTCCTCTGCTATTCAGCCACACAGTGTCACTTTGGATAGTGAGTCAGGTGCCATATAAATTTAATAAATAAATAAATATGTAGCTTCAATATTGCATTATTGATTTCTTGAGTTTTTGGAGTTTTCAACACCAAAATGTTACTTTTTTCATTCTATGAAAATATAGATTTTTTTTATTCTGGGTTTGGAATTTTTTCAAAAATTTGGGGCATTCACAGGATACCTTCAAAACTTCAAATATGCACCTGATCAAAAAAGATTGGAGATCTTGGAATATGGGCTCATGAGATAGGGCATGAATGGCTATTTTCACATTCCACACCTAGATAACTATTTAAGTTCCCTAATGACTTACTGATTACATGAATAAATAACCGTCTATGAAAACTAGCTAAACAGCCTCTCCAACAAATATTCAGGAACTCTGCCATGACAAAAACATTAACAGTGATAAATTGGGTTGACACATACTATTGTTTATGGACAATACTCGCTTTGCTTGTCCTGATTTTTTTTAGATGAATCAGAACTGCACCTTATAACAGACATAAATCAATATTAATAAAAGCATTTTGGGAACACAATCAGACATTCAGACTCCGAATGGCATAATTAACTGGTGTCCTCCAATTTACATTCTGCGATGAAGCATACCCACCACCCACCAGTTCATTTCCAGCCAATAAAGGGCAGATATATGCTTGCTAGGACAGCAGTGAACATTTGGCTTGTAAAGAAGCTCTGCTAGAAAAAAAATGGGGTTGGGGGGAGGGGAGAGAGAGAGAGAGAAGCTAGAACAAAGAGACAGACCACAGATCTGAGGATAGATTGCTTCTCCCAAGCACAATCTCACGGCTTTTCCATATGGAAAAAACTGACCCTAAAATAATCCCACATAAGGTTCAACATTCAAAATTACCATCAGCAATATCAATGCTTGGACTGGTTGATGCTACTTCTTCAGTGGTGCTGTTGATAACATCAGTTCTGTCTGAGACAGGATGAGCTCCCATCTGACATGCAGAAGATGTGTATAAACTCTGGAGAAGTTCTGAAGAGCCTGAAATGCTGTCACAGGTGTCAAATTCAGCTGGCAACCTGTTCAAATCATCTGGTTCAGGATAAGCTGGAGGATTCTGATCATCTGCTTGAAAAATATATCCCTGGCCTGCAGAAGGCGGACATCCTGGTGCCAATTCATTCATGCCACTACTCACAGCTTCATCATAAGAAGGAAGCATGACAGGAACACCATCCACCACCACAAAGTCTGGGCCATTGCTGCAATTCTCTTGAGTATCTCTAGATCAGGGAGAAAAAGAGAACATATGTGTATAAAAATGATGTGAATGGCTAAACATCCTTTGCCAGAAACAGAGTTCTTCAAGAACAAAATTTTAAATCATTTGAAATGCAGTTAGCAGATCTGTAAATATTTACTTCAAAGATACCAAGAAGCCTTCTGAGAATGTGTCATGTAACTGTTACAAAAGAAAAAAATAACTCTAATAACCTAAGGAACAACTGATAAACCTATCAGTATTCCCCATTAAGAATCTTAGTATATCTCAATTTATATCAAAATCTTTAGATTAATGAACATAAAAATATTAACAATAGAAAATCGTAGGAAGAACAGTTATGATAACTAAAATTACTTTAATTATGTATTTTCACTGGTCATTGTCTCTGACTGAATGAGCACCAAAGTTAAATTATAAAGTAACACTTCTGACCCTGGAACCCTCTGGAGATGTTGACTTCAGGTCCCATGTCTGCATGGGGTAATTCAAAGCCAGGATCTGAACAATTTCCCATCAAATTAGGAAAGTTCCTTTCAAACTTTTGTCTTATACTTTAAAATTGTTTGTGCATCATTAATCATGACGGTTTGTATATTTCCCTTCACTGTATCCTAATATGATGCAAAATAAAATAAATAACACAAAATTGACTAAATTAATACAAAACTGACTAAATCAAGTTCTTTAAAAAATCAGAGTGACCTATACTGTACAATAAGTATAGTACTGTACAATAGGGGTTGACTAGAAGACCTCATAGAAGACCTAATGTGGGCACAAGGCATGTTTTAGTATGGGGGGAGATCTATTATATCAATAAAACTGGAGAACAGCCCTTCCCTACACAATACTCCATAAATATGTTGTGATTGCAACCCTAACTTGTGTAGAACATAGAATGATAGAGCTGGAAGGAACCTCAGAAGTCTTCTAGTCCAACCTTCTGCTCAAGGCAGGAGATCTTATACCATCCTGGTCAAATGGTTGTCCAGTCTGTTTTTGAAAACCTCCAGTGATGGAGCACTGACAACTGCAGAAGGCAAGCTAACCCCCTGATTAGTTGTTCTCATAGTCTGAAAATTTTTCCTTACTTCTAGGTTGGATCTCTCTTTAACAAGCTTCCATCCATTATTTCTTGTCCTACTCTCTGGTGCCTTGGTAGAATAAGTCAATCCCCTCTTCTCTATGGTAGCCCATCAAGTACTGGAAGACAGTTACCATGTCCCCCCAAATCTTTCTCTTCAACGGATTAGACCACGGATGTAAAATTCGCCATGTCATGTGACATGTCACGACATATCATGACTTTTTTTGCATTGCCAGAGCTGGGGTGGCCATGGCCTCCGTATGATGCAACTGGCCCACGGCCAGCAGTTTGACACCCTATCTTTGACATACCTAGCTCCCTCAATTGTTCACCATATAATTTAGCCTCTTTATCATCTTTAGTGCACTTTCTAGGATTGCAGCATCTTTTTGTATCATGGTGACCAGAACTGTACACAATATTCCAAGTATCACCTCACTAGTGCAGTATAAAGCAGCATTATCGTTTCTCGTAATTGCAATGTTCAGCCCTTTGTTGATTGAGCCTAGGATTGCATTGGCTTTTTTGGCAGCTACGGCACATTGCTGGCTCATACTTTTAGGCGATGGTCCACTAGGACACCTAGATCTCTCTCACAGTTACTTCTGTTGAGCCAGGTATCAATGCATTTGGTTTTTCCTGCTTACTTTTCTTACCACCGTGTCTTGTTGGTCTTGTTGCTCAAGTCTGTAAATGTCCTTCTGAATTTTGAGTCTATCTTCCTAAGTGTTAGCAATTCCCCCCAGCTAGGTGTCATCTGCAAATCTGATGAATTACATTTTTATTTCCTTGTCTAGATCATTTATGAAGATATTGAACAGTACTGGGCCCAAGACAGAACCTTGAGGTACCCCACTGCAAGTTTCCCTTCATGTAGATGTAGTTCCTATACACTAGGTTTGGCTGGTCAGCAAATCCATCTGGTGGTGGTACCGTCTACCACACATTTTTCCATCAAGATAGAAAAATGTAGAAAGTAGTAGGCTATCGTCTACTTGTTAAATTCTTTAGTGAAGTCCAAGAATACTATGTCCATAGCATTTCACTGGTCCACTAATTTAGTCACTTTATCAAAGATGGATATAGGTTTTGCCTGGCACGAACTGCTTTTTACAAACGTATGCTCATTTCCTGTAATCACCTTGTTCATTTCTAGGTACTCATAAATCCTCCATTTGATTATTGATTATCTTTTCCATGATGTCAGGCTGATTGGCCTATAATTTCCTGGATCCATCCTGGGAGTTGCAACCCCAATGCCACTAGAGGAGTCCTGTTAGGGAATGCTTATGGAATATGCTGTACATTTAAAAAACCAGAACAGATTTGGTCTCAAAAATGAAATAATTTAGTCAGTGAAGCTTTTTAATCTAGACACTGAAGCTTCCCAGTGTCTGTGTATAAAGAACTTGCTTCTGTCCATTTTTGTTATATAAAAATAAATGTTTTCTAGGTCAGGAGAAATGAAAAAGCAAACTAATAGAAGGAAGATGTTACTTAAAACTGTGTAAAATGAAAGAAAGCAAGGTCAAAGGTAAGTATGTACTGAATACAAAACTAAATGACTAGTACATAATGAAATAAATATGTTTAGATGATTTGAGAATATAGAATGAAGTTTTAATTATAAACTCAAAGGAGCTTTTTATTTTTTCTCTTTGATGATGTTTCGCTTCTCATCCAAGAAGCTTCTTCAGCTCTGACTGGATGGTGGGGAATCCAACCCCACCTTTGGGACAACCATGACCTGGATGACTGAGAATCTCCATAGACATTTTAATTTATATATCTATATCTATATATAAACAAAACAGGTTATTACAGTTATATAAGTTAATTGTAGTACAAATCAGTTGCAAATAAAATTCCTAAGAATCATCAATTGCTTTGCACACCAGCAAAAATTAAACCAGTACTAACCTTGGAAGGAAATGTGCCTTAAATTTGGTTTGGAACATTCTGGCAAGAATAACTAACAGAAGCATTAGAAGAACACTAGTAGCAGTGAATGCCACAATCTTCCATGTTCGCAAAAGAGTTTCCTGGTTATTTGGCCAGGCTTGTTCTGTGAAACAAAGAGTAATAGGAAAACTACTAGTCACATTAGATAATAATGGCCTTTTATTGTACACAAGAAGAATCAGAACCCAAATTACAAGCTAAGCTACAGAGTTACAAACACAACAAACATGACTGCTCATATTTATTTCAGTTTTTACAAAATTATTTCCAATCTAATAAATTATCACATGTGGAAGCAGTGATATCTACAGATCAAAATAGAAAAATGATAATCATGGTCATGGGGGCTAAACCACACATTGTTTATATATCTATTGACACTGAACATATACAAAAGGGGCAGAGTTTGGATTATGACACCTTCTATGGATACTTTGGTTCTGAAAGCAAAATAAACTCTACAAGTAATAAGATATTGTGGAGGCAGTTTCAATTCAAAACATACTTTTATTTGAAAATTTAATTTTTAAATATTTAGGCTTTTGCTGGCTATCCAGATTCCTTTGTTCTTACCTGTTTTGACACAGTACACTTGATATGATGGAAACCATTTTCCATACTGGCAGGTGATATATTTGTAATCATTACTGAGAGTGTAGCCAGGATCACAATAGAACTCAACTACAGTTCCATGGTTGTAGTGTTCACAAGGCCGCGGATGGCAGATATAATCTCCATGAGTCACCATAGGAGGTAGCGGACAAACTTGGACATAAATAAAATATTAAAAAAGTGAGTTAATTGTAGTAACACCCAGTGTCAACAGAAATAAAAATATAACAATATTTCTATACAATGCTACCTCAGTCAAAAATAAAACATATCCATAATTTTATGCCACAAGTACCAATATATTATACATCAACAGATTAGTTTCTGCACAATAGCAGGTGCAATGCTATGAATAAAAAAAATGAAACAATTACTATTGCTGAAAACACTGTTGTGCAAATATTAATGTCAGGTTTTATTAAAAATAACAAAACAAAACTCCACACAAATTATATTCCCAATATTATGCCTCTATTTCATTTTTTAATAATTTTATAATTGTATAAAGTACATTGAGCATGCTTCATGTTTAGTCAATGAAATATATGCTAGAATCTAAAACTAACAAATAGTGTAAGATTTCAATAAATGCATAAAGATTGGAAAAAAATAAATTTTGTTACAATAAACATTCTTGCACCTACCTAAAACAAGCAACTACTTAATTTAATTTAATATAAAAGTATTTAATACAAGATATATCAAAATAGTTAATTAATAGGTAAAATTCTTAAACAACCCTTAAATTTCTATTTAGAGAACATGAAGCACTAAATAATGAATGTGATCTACCTAAATATCCAAATTTGTCTGGAGTCAACAAAATTGTAGTGCCTAGTGTATTTGCTCAAGTATAATTTGCATCAACAGAGGTGAATAATGATGTCAAAAAAACTTCCCTTTTTACACTGAATTATACAGCATTATAAATGAAGGCCATAAAGAGGACTCTTCATGTTGGCAGGTGATCTAAATGCACAGATTGGTAAATTACAGCTTGGCTGGGAAGATGTCTAGTAGCATGAATGATAATTGATACAATTAAACTCAGTATTCATTTGCAATAACCTATTCGGGGACAGGCCTGATCATCAACTAACTTGGTAGTCATAAGCACTAAATGTTGCTTCTATGATCAATTATTTCCTAAAAGGAAGGTACTTTAAGTCTGTTGTTAATGATGTCAGGGTTTTGAGAGGTGCTGAAGTATAGCAATGTCTGACTATCACCTGGCTCAAAGCAAGATCAAATTGAAAGCTGTGCTACCCTCTGATCTGCCACTTAGTTTCAGCTGAACTTACTTATCTGAATAATGTCAAGAAGCCACAGACTAGACACTCAGCAACCTAATGCACATTATGTCTGTGTAGAAAAGCAATGATCTGAAGTTGGAAACACCATCAATCTGGCAATAAGAATTATCTCCCCTTGCACACAGAAAAGACATAGTAAAAACAGATAACAAATTATCCATTGATACAAGAAGGCCAAGTTTACAAATCTAACAGTTGCAAAAACACTGACAAAACAATTACTCAAAAACCTGAAAAGAAGACTTATTGAGATGGGACAGCTGCAGGGGTTGGGACAACAGATGGGCACAGTAACCAAAGGTCACTCTTCTCAATCTTGAAAGCATTGTCAAGCAAGCAGAGCTGATTTAGCAGAGGCATCAGTAATGTGCCTGGGCGAGTGGCTAAAATGCTAGCCAAAGTACTACAACACTGGAAACAACTTGCTTTTAAATTATGAGGCACTAGCTGCATTAGATCAAGACCGAGGATCCAGATCCATTCTCCGATATTGTATGTGAAAGTGTACTAAACAAAACGGAGATTGCTGCAGTTACAGTATCAAAAATGAAAATGGAGAAGCTGCAAGGTTTGACCAACACAAGGAAAGGCTGTACAGTAGTGATTATATTCATAGACCCTATTGAGGCAGAAATGCTGTCAGGGAAATGGGTGCGAACATGTCACTTCAAAAACAACACTCCAAACTTGACTGAAAATGAAATACTCAATATTCCATTCTACTTTATGGCCATAACATTTTTTTATATTTTGAATGTGCTTGAGTTGTACAATGGGGAAGAACCATAACCATACATTTTAGATACGAAGGTCAAATTGATATCTACCACTTGTCCTCTTGGAAATTAAGCAAGTTCTGTTGCTTATTATACTTGCTCATAGTATACTCATATTATATTATGATGAAAGGAAATTCAGATGGCTGTCATCTAAAGAAAGTGAATGGAAACATAACAAATCTTCTATACCGAATTTCTGTTACCAGAATCTAACTTGCAAAAATCAATTATTCAACTGCCAAATGTCAAATCTCCAGTTTTAGGTTAGTTAAAACTCCAGGTTCCTTCCCTTCTGAGAAATGAGCAATCTTATCCCATGTTCTCTCTGAAGGCTGCTATGCTTATTTTATGGCTCTGTTACACAGTAAAGACCTAGTGCATCAATATAAATAATGTATGCACCAATTCACAACAGTATATTTTTCATAGAAATCACAATTCAGTAACTTCTCCCCCTACACTTACTCACATAAATAATGCATTTCAAAAGTAATTCCACTCCCTCCTTGCAAAGAGGATAATCAGACACTAAATGAATCTTCAAAAAGAATTGATTGTAATGTGTAACTCACTCCCATATACCTTAAAAACATGAGTTTCTTTGCATTTTTACTGGTTAAGGCTTTATAAGTTACAATATAGTATATACTGTAAAATTAGAGCATATAATTCACATAGAAAGCTTTTCCAACCAGAATCAACCTAGGGGAATACTGGAAGTTTCATCAGGAAGTCAGCAGTAGAATTTAAACACTTTCCTTGCTTGGCTTAAAATAACACTGTTAAATGGGAAACAATTGTTGGCATTGGTCAAACAGATCTTTTTCAATAAGCAAACCACAGAAATTAATTATAGCTGATTAATGGACATTTTATCACTCTAGCAATGGTCTCTAGCCATTTCCCCTCTGTTGTTTTTACATATTTTTTCTGCTGCTTGCAGAAATCTAACATAAGTAACTGTTAAGTCTTCCCAGCGCATTGCTTTAACAGCAAGCAAAACGAAAAGATTTTCTATCACAGAGATTAATTGCTCTAAAAAGAAAAGTTTAAGCCAAAGTAATGCCATCTCTAGACATCCATAAATATCCAATACATTAGGGGCCATGATTACTAGGGCCCCAAAAGCAATATTATGAAAGGAAGAGAAACAATTCTACACAGTTAACTTGACCTGCAGTCAATCGAAACAGAATAGAAGAAAAACAAATCAGACAGGCAAGGGAAAAGTTTTGCCTTAGCAATATAGACCTAAATATGATACATACATTGGAAATTTACTGAGAGAGTTTTTAAAAAATTAAGGTAATACCATGTCATGTTGTAAGCATTCAATATCAAATATAAAAATTCCAAGAACATACAGTACATTGTACAATGCTTTAATAAAGAAATTAAATATTATGTTTTCTGGCCAAGGAATTATATTCAATCTATCAAAGGAAATAGAAATATGCCCTAAAGCATAAAAATAATTAACATCTGGAGTAAGGTTATGATCCACTGTGAGTAATGGAAACGGTAATAGAAACGAAATAAGACAATGCAAAGTCATTATCATAATGAAAACCCGTATACAGGTTTTTGGACACAATAGTTGGGTTTACAAATCACATTAGACTGTGATTATATATTTGATGGTTCAGCATGTTGTTGGAAGCCCAAATATTATTTTATCATGTTGTATGAACTAGTTCATTATATGAAACCAATTAATTACATTACAGAATAGAAATTTCTTTGTTTGAACTTACAATAGCAAGTTGTATGAACATAGCAATTGTGTTTTATTAACCCAGGTTTAGCGGTTAAAATATTTATATATCTTTTGGTACTAAAAGTTTG